TACATAGTGTCAACTTATATGTATTGAGAAAGCTTGCTACCCGTATTCTCCCGGATACAGTACCCGCCGGAATTAGGCTCCCTTGGGTGGCTTGAGCGGGTATGGGTGTTTAATTAAACTGGATCTAGTTACCACCCTACTTTTGGGGTTGAAATCAATTGAACACCCTCCCCCGAAACGGGGCACTACATTCCAGTGAATTTTCACTAAACAATCAGGAATTAGAGGTTAGCTAAATAACCTAACCTACTCGTGATACCATGTTAGAATGCAAGAATGATTACTAGTGTGAGAAACCTAGAACATATACCTGTTGGGTTTGTACCAGGCCCCCAGAAGTCAGGAAATTTTTCCTGATTCAGGAAAAAAACAGGGTGTTGAGGGGTACCATATCTGATTTGCTAGGGTTTTGTTTGTGGCATATCCTGAAATTTCAGGGTTTTTTTGTAAGGGATATCTGTCAGGTCAGTTTTTTTTTGTAATGGATCCTGAAATTTCAGACTTGTATCGAGCATGGGTTCTGATTTTGTCAAAGGCGTGATTTGCGGGTCCCCCCCAGAATTACAGCGATATGCGCATATTCCCCCACAAAACTGGCCTGACTGCCAGGTTCCCGCCTGCAGACCACGTTTGCTGAGTCACATGTTGCCGCGCTGCCTCACGGCATTGGTCCTTCTCAAAGTGTCGGGCAGCACACAGTTTGGCTGTATTCGTGGATTGGTTGCCTTTGTAAATGCTGCCTGAATAGCCAATCATGTGTACGCCAGCGATGATGACCCAGCTTCAACACCACACTCCGGTTCGACGCCGACGCGCATGCGCTGCGCTAGTTTTGGTCCATCAGGAATACAGGAAGCCAACTGTGCATAGCTGGCAAAGTGTTCGCGCCTCGCCATCGTTCCCTTTCCCTCCTGTCTTCTTCATCTGTTTCTTCCCACGGTAGAAACAGCCACTGCGTTAGCCACTCCCAGCGTGACATTCCCCCCGCAGTGTCGTTGTTTTACAACCACTCCGTCGTGTGTCTCTGCTCGTCGACCACCCTAGTGAGCCCCGTCCACATGCCTGAGTCAGGCGATGTGGAATTGGACGACGATGGCGACGACAGCGGCAGTCACCGTGCCAAAGCCCCCACTGGGCTTGACATGCTCCTTTCGACGCTAGGTAGTTTTCCGAAGACTCCTCGTAACCCTCCAACGGAAGAAAACCCCCTATGCGCCTCGCAGTCGGTCGCCTCAAGTTCTCAAGGTGTTGTTGAGCCGAATTCCGCGCCTATTCCAGGCCCATCCCTGGCTTATGCTTTTACCTGTAGTCCAGGTTCCGCCACCCCCGTGAAACCAGGCGGTCGATACCGGCAATCCACCCTGTGGAATTTCCCACGCGGTCAGCCGACGACGCCCCGCCCCTCAGCCATGTGGGAAGATGACGACAGCGATGGCGACGACACTACCGCTGCACCCGACACGTTTCGATCGCCTGAGGATGTCTACGGCGAAGCCCTCAGCAGGTTTAATACGCGGTGGTCCGAGCGGTTTCCCTGGCTTATGATCGTTAAGACTGACGCTGGATTCACTGCGTTTAAATGCAGTCTGTGCCTTGAGCATGCAGGACTCAGAGGGAAAGCCGGCAAACGCGGCGCATGGCTGACGGACGTGCAGTCGCAGGCATTCAACAGGCACGCGGGGTCGGCCAAGCATCGCCTAGCCGTGACAAAGCAGCAGGCGCTGCTGCAGGACGCAACCAACCAGATGCGGATCGACCAGCTTCCTCAAGCCGCAGACCTCGAGAAGGAACGTGTGACTGCGCTGCTTGACGCGCTCTACTTCTGCTGCAAAGGCAACGAGCCAATGGAAAACTGGATCAGGCTCGTGCGCTACCTTAGCAAACATCGGCACGAGCACTTCCCCGAGCAGACCTATGGCACGTACTACAACAGGTATTCTTGTTTGTTGTGTGATTTTGTTTTGCATGCATCTATCATGCATGACGAATGTTAATGTTTCAGCATACTAATTATATGTATGCTCTTGGCTACTGCAGTTATGGGTACGGGAAGTTCACACAGTCCATGGCAACGTGGCTGCAGACAACACAGTTGGAGCACCTTCTGAGGAGCCCGTTCATCGGCTTGAGCATTGATGAGAGCACAGACCGCTGCCGCGGCAAGCACCTCATCGTGTTTGCTCATTTCATCCGCGAGAACCAAGTCGTCTGCGAATACCTGGCCCTGCTGAGCGTCGACAAGGCCGACGCTGCCTCTCTGCTCGCTCTACTCCTGTCTCACCTCAACGCCATCGGTGTCGACCTCCGGCGGGTCGTCGGCATAAGCACCGATGGCGCTGCTGTTATGATGGGATCGAAGGCTGGGCTTGTGACGCGGCTGCGGATGAAAATTCCGCACTTGGTAGCGTGTCACTGTATTGCGCACAGGTGAGCGTTGTTATTTTCCGCTACTGTACCTCGGGTTAAGTGCACTGGTGGTTTCCGCATGTGCAATGTGTATTACCCCACTCCCAAGGCCCAGCATGTACCATATTATTTTCCGTTTTGTCCCACCCTCCAGAGAGGCACTGGCAGCTAAAGCAGCGGCGGAATCCTTGCCAGCGTTCAAGATGATTGACGATGTCATCAAGGAGCTCGCTGAGTACTTTGGACGATCCGGCCCATGGCACCAACGCTTCTTGGACCTGCAGGAAATCTTCACCTCGACGAACCTCGAACTTCAAGGCATTCATAACATCCGATGGCTCTCCCGCGGTGAGGCTGTCATTAGGTTAGTCAAGGTTCTACCCGCCATCGTCGTCATGCTCTCGGAGTGGACGGACATCCGGCTCTCCAGGATAGTGACAAGCTACCGCTTCTGGTTCCTTGTCATGTTCCTTGCTGACGTACTGGAGCAGCTAAACATCCTCAACAAGTCCTTCCAGGAGCGTCAGGTGAGTTTTTCTTTTCTGTGACAATGAGTCGTTATTAAACCACCCTGGTTCTGTATATATACACGTTCCCCTCCCTTCCTCCCCTCCCCCTCTTCCCTGCCCCAACCTCAGCTGGAGTACTCGGCCGTCCACGCGCAGATCATCCGCACAACAACCCTGCTGCAGAGCCGCTACGGGGACACCGAAGACTTCGGCGGGGGACCGAAGGACCGTCTCACCATCTTCCTCACCCGTCACGGCCCGGGCGGTTCTCGCGAGGTCACAGCTGAGGGGGTCGACTCCGACGGTCGTCCGGCTTCCTTTACCTTCGGGCTGCATGAAGATCGCTTGCCCGGTTATCCAGGGGAGGGCGATCATGACGCGTGCCAGAGGCTATGTGTGGCCATGGCGACAGGCATGGTGTCGAACTTGAAGGAGCGGCTGGGTGATCTGGGGAAGCTCTCTGGCTGCCGCCTCTTCTCTGTCAACCTCTGGCCCCCTAACTGGGAGAGAGGTGCACGCAAGGCCCAGTGCCTTGACTGGTTCTTCTCCCTTGTTACTCTTTATCGTGCAGATGAGGCAGAGGAGATTCTTCCTGGCATTGACAAGCGTGCAGCCATGAGAGAGCTGCCTCATTTCTGCCCTGTCATTGCTGCTCTTCCCCAGGCCGACCGAAGCTTTCACGCTGGGCTCACGGCCATGCTGAAGACACCGGACTGGCAGGATTCTTACCCGAACCTGATAAAGCTGTGGATGGCGGTGGCAGTGCTTCCTCTCAGCACTGTGGAGTGCGAGCGCGGATTCTCTAGGCAGAATGTGATTAAGAGCTGGCTGCGTGGCAGCCTTAAAGATACTAGGCTTAGTGACCTCATGTGCATGTCATTGTTAGACTATGACCCGGACTATGATGCTGTGGTGGAGATATGGCGCGCTTACAAGAAGCGTAAGCCCTTCAACAACACCCCTCAGGCCAAGCAAGAGGGCTCGAAGAAGGGGAAGGGAGTAGCAGAGGCAGAGTTGGGTGTAGGTAGTAGTGACAATGTGGACGATCTTTATGATTTCTAGTTAAGTTCCTTGCTTCTCAATTTCCTCTTCATTTTGTCAATCAGGAAAAAAAAACCATCTATCTCTGTCCATTCAGCAATTTTGTCCCACACAATCCTGACCCATAAGCAAAAAAAATTGGGGACCTCTGAAAATTCAGGGAAAAAACCACGGGTAGTCCTTTGCAATCAGGATGACTTCAAACCAATCTGAGGGCCTGGTTTGTACGCACTAGAAGCACACACCTAGGCTAGCCTATAACTTATACATACAGCATATGTATAAGTTGACAGATACATGTGCTAAGTGTTGTCCCCTCTAAGAGTTGTCCTAGCTATGTTATACGAACATATCTAAACTAGCTAGATATACAAATATGTTTGTTTTGTTGACACACCCCCTTGTCGGGAGACCTGCTGGGGTTGCCCTTGAGATCCTCGGGGCACACACACAGTGTGAACTTATATGTATTTGTAGTTATAGGCTACATAGGTGCATGCTCTTAGAGAGTACAACACACAAGCTAAAACAGTGTATGCCCTTCATCATGTTAAAATTTGCTATTCTGATATGGTATCAGACTAAGTTAGGTCTCCCCACCAGCACTTCCGCCTTAGCCCGCCCTAGTCCCGTCACGCCGCCCTAGCCCGACCGCTGGCCCTTCGCGCGCCGCGTGCCCCCCCCATCGCGAGCTGCGCGGCTCCTAGCCCGCCACCGGCCCCTAGCGCCCCGCTGGCCCCTAGCTCAACGCTGGCCCCTAGCTCACCGTCAACAAGCAAACCGTCACGAATAAATATCCTATTGCAAGGATAGACGATCTGCTGGACCAGCTTCGAGGGGCCACGGTTTTTTCTAAACTGGACCTCCGGTCAGGATATTGGCAAAAATAGATGGCGGGTAACTCTATCCACAAAACCGCCTTTTGGACGCGTTATGGCTCCTACGAGTATTTAGTGATGCCGTTCGGACTCACGAACGGACCCGCCACGTTCCAGGCCAAGACGAATCATATTTTCCGCCCGCTACTTGACGAGTGTGTAATGTAATGTACCTTGACGATATCCTAATATACTCCAAGACGATGGACGAACACATACGTCACCTGCGGCAAGTTTTGGAGATCTCTCAGAATGAACAGTTCCATGCCAAGCTCTCGAGAAGCGAGTTCGCGTTGAATCAGGTTCCCTTTTTGGTACACGTTATCAGCGCACGCGAAGTACACGTGAACCCCGAGAACATCGAAGCAGTGAAGCAGTGGAAGCAGCTAGGAACGTGAAGGAGCTTCAGCAGTTCCTCGACTTTGCCAAATACTACAATCGCTTCGTCCCCAACTATGCCGAGATCGCAACCGACCCTGTCACGGCGTCAGTTCGGTGGGTGGATTTCATGGAAACCCACTTCAACTACGACATCGTGTACAAGCGTGGATTGCGTAACAAGGCGGACGCGCTTAGCAGATCGCCGAACCTCACCTCCCTACAAGTGCAAGGGATGAGCCATCTCCTCAAAGGCCTTTTCCAGCACTTCTATTACACTGACCCAGAGATTCCAGCAGCAGATAGACGCAGACTCCTTCTATGGGACCAAGGGCTCGCATATAAGAAGGGTACTAAGAAGCTGTGGGTATCTAACTAAGAACCCTTGAATCAGCTACTGCTAGAGGAATATCACGACACTACGTTAGCTGAACACTTCAGCAGCAACAAGACCCTGACAGTTCAACTGTTCTTCCACCGAGTAGCTTATCTCCATGGAATCCCCAAACTCTGATTTCTCACAGAGATCCGAAGTTCACTAGCAAGTTATGGAAGGAGCTCATGCGACTCCTTATAACCCGTCTGGAGATGTCATCCACATACCATCGACAGACTAATGGGCAGACAGAACGACTAAACCAGATCGTGGAACAGTTGCTGAGGGTTGCCTGCAAGGACGAAATAAGCAAGTGGGACCAGCAGTTACCTCTACTGGAATTCTCCAACAACAACGCTACCCACTCTGCTACTGGACAAACACCGTTCTTCCTTTGCTTCGGACGACATCCCCTCATTCTACAATAGCCTCTTGTTCTTGCTCAAGTCCAACCGGCACACGACTTCGTCACTGCCATGCATCAACTCTAGGATATTGCGCAGAAGCGCCTCCAGAAGGTGCAAACTTCCTAGAAAGGACAAGCAGATAAGAACCAAAGGGACCATCAGATACAGATTGGAGATTCTGTTCTGTTGGACACCAGGAACCTTGACCTTCGCCACATCCCTTCTAAGCTTCGCCCTCGGTTCTGTGGACCTTCGTCGTTGAGGAACATGTTACTCCTGCAACCTTTTGCCGTAAACTCCTGAACATATGCAGGATTCGAAATGCCTTTCATGTGCAACTCCTTAAACCCTACAAGGACCCGAATCACCTCTACTCAGGACGACAGCTTCCGCCGCCTACTCCTATCATTGTCAACGGAGAACCTGAGTACGAGATCGAGTCTGTACGTGCTCATCGACGCCGACGTCATGGCCACATCGAGTTTTCATCCATTGGAAGGGCTATGACCCGTCCGAGGACAGTTGGGTTAAGGAATCCGACATGGGAAACGCTACCCGTGCTCTCGGACAGTATTTACGAAAGCAGGGCGTTACAGATACCACCCAACTTTGAGGGGGGGAAGTGTGAGAGCAGGATAGGTTTCCTAGGAGAAATGACTATTTCTATATTTTCTAGGACACTATTGATTACCTAGAATACTCATTTTAATCACTCGAATGATTTTATCCAAAGTGGTTATTTGGATTATTCTTGGTATCATAAGTGTATGTGTTATCTACATTAGCTGTTGCGTGCACCGAGTGTTCAACGTATTCGGCGAATCCTCTAGTGCTTCTAGAATAGTTGGTTCTAGAGGGAAGTGGTTCCTTTTAGGAACATTCACGTTTTAGCTGGACTCGCGCCTCGCTCGGAGGACCTTGCGAGTGCTCGCCTATAAATTTTGTTGTTCCTCGGGATTGTAATTGATTTTTCATTCTATAGTTAACATTTTCTTCCGCACCACGCATAGCGCATTCGACCATGTAACGTACAGCAACCACAAGGAAAGCTAGCTCGTACTGCATATCCTCTAGAATGTCACTGCCAAGGGAAGGTGCACCCTTAACGGGTGGAGGACAGGTAGGGACAGCGACGAGAGCAGAAGCGTAATCAAGGCTGTGGCTCGCAGCAAAGTCAGCGGCAGCATCGACTAGAGCAGAGAGTCTCCAGAGGAGCGGTATGGTCAGTGAGAAGCGATGCAAGCAAGCGGATGCATGCATGCAGGACACAGTACGTATAGATGTGTTATTCCCACTATAGACTACACCTAGCTTGTATACACTACATATACATACACAAACATACTGTAAGTACACTAACACAACCCCCTAGATTGGGGCCAGAGTCTAACAAGGGATAGCAATCCAGGACAACACTACTAGTCTGGCCTCTGGTGTGTGTGACAAACAGCTCAGGGCAGCACTACTTGTCTGACAACTGAGACAAGGGTAACAAGACAATTGGGACTAGGCTAAGCTGAGTACAAAACCGCTGGTGATCACGAGGTCCAAGGGCCTTGGTGAAGATATTAGCGGTGTTGGCCTCTGAGGCCAGCTATACTATGAGCCTAGCCATGCTGTTGCAGCTCACACTCTAGAAAGTACTGCATCTGGATGTGCTCGCCCTTGCGCTCAAGTCAAGCCTCCTAACACAGGAGGATTACAGCCTTGTTATCAGCAAACACGACCGGGGCAGACCTTGGCCTCTCACCTAAGTCAGTGAGCACGTACGTCAGCCTGCGGAGCTCTTGAGCACCCATACCACCAGCGTAGGCCTTGTGATAATCACAGCCGCTAACCAATGTGCTAAAAGGGCTTGTTCAGTAGCGGCTTAGCGCGCCCATAACCCCCCAAACATAGAGGCATGTGGCCCTCCCGAGGATCTCTAGGGCAACCCCGGTGAGTCTCTCGACACCCCCCCTCACTGGGGTAGGTGGAGGACTCAAGCACTCCAATTTGTGGGCACTGGGATGTGAACTCGAGTCTTCTTGCTCTAATACCATCTCAAAAGCACAGCCGCTAACCACTGTGCTAAAATGGCTCATTAAGTAGCGGGCCAGCGTGCTCGGAATCCTCCACGCATAGAGGCCTCTGGTCCTCCCGAGGATCTCTAGGGCAATCCTAGTGGTTCTCTCGATATAACTCTGCCTCACAGCTGGACTATGCTACAGACGACAACCAAGTGGACCACCACGCGATGCGGGGAGACCAGTGACCAAGCCGTGCTGAGCCATGTGACTTGGACGCGGGAGGGCAGGATTACCTAAGTGGTGGTGTCACAGGAGTGCTGGGTGATTGAGGGAGCGACAAGAGTAGGACGCGGCTACCTGGGTGGACGCAGTTACCTAGGGGGTCTGCGTGCATAGGGTGAAGAGACCGGACGCTGGGTCACCGTCAAAGGTGGCTAGACGGGCGCTAGTGGCTGCGTCTGCACAGGCTGTTTATCGCGCGTGGCCAGGAAACGTGGTGATGACACCGAGGCCGTGAATATGAGTGACACCAACCATGTTCCTGGCAAATGTGGTGACATGCAAGCCGGTAAGGGAGTTGGACAGGTCAGCTAGGCAGGGAGAGCCGTGGTGCCGCGGGCGACGACTGTAGCAGGCGAGTCTGCTAGGGGGGCTGGTACCAGTGCCGGAAGAGGTGTGAGATCAGTGCGATCTTGGAAGAAGCAGTGAGATGCGCCAGAGTCGAGCGTGAAGGAGTTGGCCACCACAGCGGCGGCCAGCGGGGGAACAGTAGACAAGCAAAGAATACACATAGCAGAGGAGCCTAGACTACACACAGCAAAAGAGCCTAGACTATACAAAGTAGGATATTAGGAGTAAGTAACACTATAATCATCAGAGTACAAAAAAAGCATGGCAAAACCTATGTGAGCCATCTCCGTCTCAGATACTCGAACGCCACAGTGAAGTATTGAAGGCCAGTCGGGTGGGACCGCCAGGGGCCCAAAGTGGCTGCGGAAAAATACGTCTAGGCGACAAAAGCAGCGAGCGGCGGTCTGGCCCGTGCGCCCACGGACTGTGCCGCGCAGGGGGCAAGTTTGAATTTGGTACACAGAGTGCACAAGACCCCCAGACCCTATGCCACCCTGCCCACAGGGGATTCACGCGCACCCCGGGGCACCGACGGCCCCAAGGCCCAATCACCACAGCTTGCACCACGCCCAGCACTCGTAGGGCCCACGGGCCCCCAATACGGTTGCTGCTCTTGCGGCGACCACTGCTATGGCTGCTGCGGCGGCTGCTGCTGCTCCCCCTCCTCCTCCGCACCCGCCCCTCCGCCAGTGCCCGAGGCCCCACCAGCGCCCCCACGCCCGCCTCTGTCAATGCCCCATGACTATGAGGGCACCGTGAGCGCCCAGCAGAGTGGCCAGGTGCAGTGACCACTGCAGCAGTCTGAGAGCAAGGGTGGAGAGCAGCCCTGAAAGATAGGGGCCGCCATTCCACTAGTGATCTGGGCTATGGCGCGGAGGTGGGTCTCTAACTGTATCAGGGAGGTGGAGAAGAGGAGGATAGTGGGCTCAGTGGGGTGCAGTTTGCGGAAGGCATCCCGCACGGGAGCGAGGCAGTCAGGGAGGCAGGTGATGAGGAGGTAAAGGGTTATGTAGATGGGCGGGGTGTGCTCAACAAGCTGGGCCTTGGTGCAAGCTGCACAGAAGACGGTCTCGAGGGAGTGCAGGTGCGTGACAAGATCTTCCACTGTGGAGAAGGAGGCCAGGTCGGGGAATAGGAACGGGAGGAGGAGGCAACTGAGGGTGGCGGAGGACGGTGTCGAGTAGCGGGTGACAATCGCATCCCAGAGGGCCTGAGCCGTCTTTTCCTACCCAAAGTGGGAGTGCTCGTCGACCAGCAGGCACCAAGCGATGGCAACCTGCGCGGCGGCATCACGAGACTCCCAGATACTGTAGTGAGGGTGGTCCGTGCCGCCGCGTACACCTTACGATGTGCCGACGTCGACTTTGGTCCAAGGGATCAGGGGGGGGGCGGGCAGCTCACCAGTTACGCGGGCTGGCCGCTATTCGCCCTCCACACGGCTGCTCAACAGCTGCTGGCGGAGAGAGGAAAACCAGATCGTGAATCCGGTCGCACAGCCCTCAGCATCTAGTCGAAGGACGAACACCGGCACCAATAGGGCCACCATGCCGCCATGCCATGCGATATGTACCCGAGCAGGGGCCGCTACAGGTACGGCCACCACTTAGCGGCAACGGTGGCGGTAGGGTGGGCAGCAGGTCTAGCGACAGCTCCGATAGAAGGCGGCTGGGAGCTACTGAACGAGGAGATGGGTGACTGAGACCAGCGGCAGGCGACGACGCCAGTGGCCGGAGCGCTGGGGGTTGGGGTGGCAGCGACTGGAGTGCGGGCGGCCAAGGTTCCGGCAGCGGTGCTGGCGGCGGCGGCCGCAGCGTGGGTTGCTGCGGGTGCAGCGGCGGCGACGGCGGCTACGGTTGCAGCATCGTTGGCGACAGCTGTAGGTGCAGCGGGGGCGGCGCGGGCGGCTGTAGCTGCGGCTGGCTGGCGGCGTGCAAGCGGGCCAGCAGCTCTGGTGGCAAGCAGCGGGTAGCCGTAGCCGCCAGTGCGCAACGGGTGGCTTGCAGCGGGCGGTGCACAACTGCAACTGCCAAAAAGAGAGAATGAGTTCGGATGCAGGATGGAGGGTAGAGTACCCATCAAGGTTATTGGAGGTCAGCTTGCCTGCCTAGATAGAGCGGTCGGAAGGGGGGATGAGGACATATGCCTTGCAACCTTGGATGTGAAGAAATGCAGCATCAGGTTTGGTGAAGGCCCAGAGCTCTGTAGGAGTGATGGACTCACGTTGAGGGTAGAGGAATATTAGTGAGGAGAGCAGTATAGACGAGGGCATAGCCCAAGAGGGAAGGGGGGGTGGGGGCATGAGTGAGAAAACATCGTGCCTTCTTAATGAGCTCATGGATGTAGCTCTCACCAACACCGTTCTGCTGAGGGGAATGGGGAAGGGTATTAGTCTGCTAGATCTCTCG